ACAGTGCTTTCACAATTGCCATAAAAGGTTCGCAATTGCGAATGAATAGTGTCGCACTAGAAACCAGCAAAACCCAAACTTCTCCGAAATGAACCGAAACCACCCCAAAACTCATTCGGATCCTCCCGGACACAAACCATGTATGAATTTCAATTATAAAATATGCTACGGACCTCCTCGCGCACTCAAAACACTAGAAAAGAGATTGTCTTAACCCGATATTGACTATGGTCAAAACTCCCAAATTTCTTAACTTTACTATTCTCTCAACCAATAATCCAAAAATATACCAAAGCCTCTCGGGACTCCAGACCAAAATTACACACCAGTCTAAAAATATTACGTTGCTCGCGCGATCAAATCACTAAAAAACAACTAGAACTACGAATTGGACACCAAATCAAATGAGATTTTCAAAAAAGCTTTGAAATCTCTATTTTTACCACTGGACGTCCGAATCATGTCAAACCGACTCTGTTTCCCACCAAATTTCACAGATAAGTCAAAAAATATTATATTGGACATGTACCGGGATCCGGAACCAAAATACAGACTCGGTATCAACAATGCCAAACATTCAATGAATTATTAAAAACATTAGATTTTTTCCAAACTTTTAATTTTCAATAAAAATTCATAACTCAAGCTAGGGACCTCGGAATTCGATTCCGGGCATACGCTCATATCCCATATTTCAATACGGACCCATCGGGACAGTCAAAATACGGTTCGGATCCATTTACTCAAAACGTTTACCGAAGTCAACTAAAATTAACTTTTTAGGCAAAATTTCTTGTTTTTATTAGTTTTTTTAGCATATAAACCTCCCAGGTCAATACCCGGACTGCGCACGCAAATCAAGAAAGGCTAGGATGAGGCACTAAAGGCTTCGAAATACAGAATTTGGTTCTAAATCACCGAGCGAAGTGCAGATACTCAAAACGACCAGTCGGATCGTTACAGTTTAAATTTTATCGCTGGGTTTATGATTTTGTGTTATTTTTTTTTTGTTTATATTGTTAATATCGTTCACATTTGAATATGCGTAGTGTCAGTCATGGTTGCAAATATAATATTTTGTAGAACTTGTACAAAAATTCGACGAAACTTTTTGCAAGTTGTTATATCAAAAGAGTGCATGGTTAAACTAGATTGTACTTTTTTTTTATCATCATAGAATCATGTATTATTCACTTGGTTCAAAATTATTTCTTGGTTTGTAATTATGTGTCTTTTGTTTATTTTGTTAATATTGTTAACATTTGAATATGCGCAACGTTATTTGTGATTGAAAAAATTTAGCTTTTATCTTTAAACATCTGCATACATATCAAGAAATTATTATCGAACAAAAATAATATTTTGCAAAAGTTGTACAAAAAATTGATTTGACATATCTTTTGTAGGAAAAAAATATTAGTTATTTGTGATAGAGATATCTAGTAATTAGTGATATCAGAAATTTTTATTGACGGTATGTTTACTGGTAAACTTGAGCAAAATTGTTTAATTAAGAAAAATAGAAAACGTGAGGTATTTCAAAGCAAGCAAAGAGATAATCATTTTTATTAGGAAAAAAAAAAAGATAACCATGTTTTTGAATTTTGGGTGTTTTTTCTTTCACTTTCCATCCACCTTATCTTTAAAGAGTTGTCATACAAAAAATTAAGCATTGGAAATATAAAAGGCAAACGATGTAAGCAATGTTGAACCTATATAAAAATTCTTTTATCAAAAAATAAATAAATAATTTAATGTTTAACCTAATTTGACTGGCACAGAAGAAAGGAGCATTACATAAAAATAATGAACAATGATAACGCCAAGGGAGATCAACCACAGAACAAAGAAAATTTACCCCCTAAAAAAACAAAAATCAAAACATTAAACTACAATACACGAACATATAAGATTTTTCGAAGAAGAATCATGCAACGACTTTGTAATTTTTTTATAAAAAAAAAAAAAAGGCATAGATGATACGGCGCTGCAAGAGATGAGGATCCTTCTAGAGATCTTTGAGTTTTTTCAATATCCGTTTTAATGCCATCACAACGAAAAATAACAAAACTGAATAGATCAAATCTGATACAATAAAAATAACAATGTAAATAAAACCTAAATCAGTTATAAAATTTCTGCAGCAGAAATGTGCAAAGGAGTAATTAGGATAAGTGTTCTTCACTTGTTTTGGGTTAAATTCCATAATCTAGTCTTGATTCTTATCATTTAATTTGAGAATTTGGGGTAAAAATTGGGAAAAATGGAAGAAAATTGGAGAATGGATTTTTGACGATTTGGAGGGCTATTTGACGTCAGATTTTGATGAATTTGATATGGGTAGACTCATGAGTGAATGCGCTTTCTATTTTAGTAATTTTTATCGGATTCCAAGAAGTGGGCCAGGGGGTTGGGTTTTGACCAATTTCGGGATTTTTGATGTAATTTGATTATTTTCGCATGGGCTTTGTTCCCTTAGCATATATTGATGTTATGGTTCTGATTTTGGTTACATTCGGGGCATTTGGAGGCGGAATCAAGAGGCAATGGCGTCGCGGGCTAGAGTTTGGCTTGGCTTGAGGTAAGTAACACTTCCAAACTTGGTTTTAAGGGTTCGAAACCCTGAACTATGTGTCTTATGATTACTATTGAGGTGACGCAAATACCAAGTGACAGGCATGTAGGCATGCACCGTGAGAATCGCGGCCTGGATCATTCCATTGCACTACTTAGAAACTTTTTCTTGCTGATATCTGTGTCGTAATTATGTGATTACGTTAATTAATGAGCTGTAAATCATGCTAATTATCATGTTAAGGCTTCACGCCAATACTGTTGAGACCCGAGAGGTCATTTCTTATTGTCATATCATTAGCTTCATTGATATTATGTACTCAGTCATGTTCATGCATATTATATCATGCCTCAGTCTCGATTATTGTTATTTGACATCATATCATTGTTCAGCTAGTATCATGACATTTTGAACTCATGTGCGTGACACTGGAGAGAAACGACTGAGTGAGGCCGAGACCTGATATTGAGTGATAGTACGGGATCGGGCTGCACGCTACAGCGAGATATTGAACATGCCTTCGTTGGCTTGTTATAGTGCTTGCGCTAAGAGAAACCCCTGGACATGGATCTTGTCCGAAGTAATTATACCCAGAGATGGATCTTCTCCATAGGGCTGGAATAGCCTTCCTCGGTACTGGGTGATTACGGTCAGTGATGTATATACATTTCGGGATGGATATTCCCTGAGCCGGATGGCCATATACACTACCGAGTGGTTGAGCACTTGTGAGTGGAGGCATACGGAACATTGATCATGTCATTTGTGCATTGGTACTTAGAGATTTCCTGAGATTTATACTATGTACTGGTCATATTGTATTTACTTACTGTTGAGCTTTTATTTGAACTGCAAGCATGTCTACCTTTCTGTAGAGTTATTTGTATACCTGTTAAGGTTTGGTTCGTCACTACCTGTCAGTCCATAGTTTGGACTTGTTACTTATTGAGTTGGTGTACTCACATTACCTCTGCACCTTGTGTGGAGATCCAGGTATCTCGAGTCACGATAGCGGTTGCTGATCATATCAGTTGGAGACCTTTTCCTTGGAGATTGTGAAGTAGCTGCTTCACGATCGCAATTTTGCCTTTTCCTTCCTTATCTTCCTCTTAGTACATTTGTTGGATATTCTCAGACTATGTAGTCTTGTTTATTTCGAACAATTATAGTATTTTGCTCATGACTTAGTGACACCCGAGGTCGGGCTTGTACTTTCTTTCCGCTCGTTTTGATTTCTACTTTTACCTTTTATCGGATTTCTGATAAAAATATTATTTTTCTTAAGTTTTAAATGAAATTTGGAGTATATGAAAATAAGTTGGTTGGCCTAGTTTCATGATAAGCGCCATCACGACCGGATCGAATTTTGAGCCGCGACACAAAGTTGTTAATAAAGTTGGGCACCCCCATCCCGTTTTTCTTCATTTTTTGTTTTCTTCAATATGAGCGCTACAATTGAAACATCAATAGCTAAATTCACTTTTCACAGCTTGAACAACCCCATTATTTACCTTTTTTATGATCGAATAAATTATTAAAGTCAGAAGATTATATTAATAAAGTAAAGAAGCAATTTATAATCATAATTGACTATGAGCCACCAAGCTTTTAATTATTGGATAACATATCTCTCATTCTCTTAGCTTTATCGTTTTCGTCTAGCGGACATCGTCTAACCCCATCTTTTGTTTCGAATCTTTCTGAATTAGATATTGAAAATAAAACAAAGTTCAAGTCTTCAAGACTTCACATCTTCTTGCATCCACATTCAGCTTCCCCATTTTCTTGTTCGGAGGTTTTGATTTTATATATTTATTTGGCGCTCTAAAAACTAGTAAGTATGTGTTGAGGGGTGANTGGGGGAAGGGGGTTGGCGAGGAAAGTGAAGGGAAGAATACTTTCACAAATGTGGTTTTTTACTTTTTGTTTTCTTAAAAAAAATGGATTAATTAACCAAAAGTTACGTGGCATTTTTTTAATTGAATGTTTAGCTAGATTCCTATTGGTGAAGTACACTTTAACTGATGTTACGTTGTAGTGTTCAGTATTTATGTAGTTAACCCTAAATGAAAATAATCCAACTTTCAAAACTCATTTTTGCTTACGAAACACATCTTAGGAATAAAATCTGGGGATTGGGATGACGAACATAATAGAATATAACGATACATTTGTTTATACTCCTTATATGGGGATGTAATTAAATTAACTACAACCCCCATTCATTACATTCCAAAATTTAACAGTGAAAAATATTTATTTGAAATTCTCTATGTATAACTGTAATGATACATTTTCTATAGATAAGACAGATGCATTATAAACAAGTAAAAACATAAAGCAAAGCAGGAAAGAAAGTACAATGGTGATGGTGGTAAGTAAATAAGAAGAAAAGTAAGTTTAAAACATGTTTGATGCCACCAAATTACTCCGATGAAGGTGGATAAGGAGTTGCAATCAAATAAAAGTCACTCTTTCTAAGAACAGCTAATCCAGCCGATTCAGCTAAGTCCAAGTCACTTGGAGTGATTCCTGTAGGAAGATTCCAATCAAAGGGGTACAATAATTGAGCAAATAAACATTAGCTAAACCAAATGATATTCCAGGGCAAATCCTTCTTCCACTACCAAAGGGAAGATATTCAAAATTATTACCAGTAAAATCCATAGTGCTATGCTGAAATCTCTCAAGCTTAATGCTTTTTGCGTCAACCCAATATTTTGGATCTCTTCTCATCGCCCAAACATTAACCATGATTGTGGTTTTTAAAGGAATGGTGTAGCCATTTATATTTGTTTCTTCTCTACATTCTCTTGAATTCAACAATGGAAGTGGAGGATGGAGTCTAAAAGTTTCTTTAATGACTAACTTTAGGTATTTCAACTCCTCTACATCATTTTCATTGAAAGTTTCTTTACCTTTAAAGGCATCTCTTACCTCAGCTTGAGCTTTGATGAGTATACTTGGATTCTTCATCATTTCTACCATGACCCAAGTAACTATTGATGATGAAGTTTCAGTTCCAGCAGCGAATAAGTCCTACATTTATGAGCAAGTTTGATATATGTCATGAATGATAGCTATTTGTTTTTATAATCTTTTCACCAATTTCTACTGAAATATTAAATTTCTTTTGACTTCAATGCCAAAATTATTTTCTAATATATGATATTTAGATATTATTTCACTACCCTAGAAATACTAAATTGTGGTGGCTGACTTAATTTTTTATTGTAATTTTTTTAATGTGTGAATTTTATTAAGTCCTCTGCTTGCCACTACATCAACTCTCTATGTACCAAAAATGATCATGCAATTTAAAAATGCAAGTGCATGCATACTTGAATAATGATGAGGGTAGATGTAGGGGTTATACATAGGTCAGGTTGGTTCGGATTTTACAATTATCAAACCAAACCAATTGTATCGGGTTATTAAATTTAAAAACCAAACCAAACCAATAAAACTCGGGTTTTTCAATCTCGATTTTTCTCGGATTTTTAGGTTTTTCAGGGTTTTTCGGGTTTTTTTCAGTAAAATCTTCGTAGAACAAAATATATAACTTGTGCTCAAAATATTTCTTTAATCCTAGTAAGATACAACTATATAAAGTATTTTAAAAGAAAATAATACAAAATATGAGATGTGTCATGACATTATCCTAAAATATTCAACAATAAAGACAATAAAATTACGTAATCTAAATATTGCTAATTGAAAAGCCATAATAAAAATAAACATAACACTAAAAGTACTAAGTCATGCTAAAATAAATAGACTAATAAGGGGGTATTAATTACATGACTAAACGCTAAAGAAAAAATAAAAATAGGTTATGCATTTTTATCTAAATTATTGCAAAATTAAAAATAGATATTCAATATATTCCCGTTCGTAGTATTGAATTGAATATTTTTTGTTAGCATTAGTATTGATTTGATTTTGCTTTGGGTTTTGTTAATATTATTTAATTTACTAATATTAATGACTATAAAACTTACTGGAACATTCAAAAATTCTAAGTCTGACCTTGAAATAATACCTTAAAAGATAAAATTATGAATTTTTTTTAAAGAAATATTTATAAATTACATCACAATAAGTATATTTATATATTAAATATATCTAAAATTTCTATATATGTGATGTCGGGTTGGTTTGGTTTCGGTTTGACTTTCTTTAGTTAAAACTAAACCAAACCAATTATGGTCGGATTTTTTTTTCTAACACCAAACCAAATCATAGTCAAATTTTTTTTCTCGATTTGACTCGAATTATCGGGTTGGTGCGACTTGTCGGTTTCCTTTGTACACCCCTAGGTAGATGTATGCATTGTATATAGTACTTACAATAAAAATGGCCTTTATGTTGTTAGTGGTGATGGGAAATTGAAGGCTTCCATCCTTCATAAGTCTTAGAAGTACATCAATTAAATCTTCACCTCCTAATTGACCATTGAACTTGCCAGTTGCAAGATTTTGCTTGTGCTCATTGATGACATCCTCAATAATAATATCTATCTTACAGTGGAGATACATTATTTTACCACTCTTTCCACTGAGCACATGAAGAAACTTCTGTGAAGGGAATATGTCAGCCACATCTCAACGGCCACTAATTTAGGCCTGGATGCAAAAGCAAGGTCATGAGTTTTTAGTACTTCTTTTGCCATCTCAGGAGAACTAATTGAAGGTGCATAAGAGGTCCATATTTTTTTGCTAAATTTCTTACGACATGGTGTGGAAGTCCACCTTGATGGATTATTATATGCAGCGGAAGCAATCCCAATATCAAAATCACATGTAATTTAGACAA